TGCCGAGCCGCGCAGCACAGAGCAGACCAAACAACCGACAGGAGATGTTTTTAAATAGTCCCTCCAATCAGCTGTTGTCGGATGGACCTAAAACAAACAGCTCCCCCTTCAGACTGGGAGGAGAGAAACGGCCCAAACATAATTCTATCCATGGTGGAGTGAGCACACCCAACACCCAATTCGCCTACTTATACTACGCCCTAAAAGTATGTACTCTTTTTGTAAAGAAAAACTACATACTTTTGAGTGTGTAGCAAAAGAGTAGGCAAGCTTTGGGACATACTACTTCGTCATCTTTAACGGACAGCTCTGCCGCGTGCATCCTGTCACCGTCTGCCCTGTCAATCATCTCTTCACAGTTAAAATCCTTCATTCAATCTAATTTAATTTCTTACCGTTTCGGAGAGAAATGTTGTAGCACATTCAACTGCCACTCGTGGGTCTTTCATGCGGAGACTCTCCTCATGTGTTTGCAATTTGAATATAAAGATGCATTTAAAAGTTAATGGCTAAACGTATCTTTACAAAAGTTCACAATGCTTCTGCAGATGCAATATAATGTAGACAATATTGAATACATTTTCGTCAGGTTAGATACTGATAATTAATCACTCAAACCCCTTTATCTAAACCTCTCTACTGTAACTGCCGGACTCGCGCGTCCTCCATGTCTGTAATTTTTTTTTTTTAACACTTTTCACTCGTGTTTGTAGTTCTAACCGAATCCTTGTCTAACGCGCGATGGGTTGTGGGCAATATCAGCCGTTAGAGTGCGCATCGATCTGCACTGGAACACTCATTTCAACATACTACGATTTGGGACGTACTAATTCTATTTTCAAATACTATTTAGGACGGATAGTATGCGAATTGGGACGCACCAACTGATTAATTCAGGTGTGCCTGACCTCAGTAGTCATAGCAACAATAATCAGACACACCAGGAACCGACTCGAACCTCGGATATGACGTCACGTCCACACTTCAAGCGTTCTGCTGTGTCCCAATGTGAAGGCTGCATCCTTCGAAGGCCGCGGACTTCGGTAGCCGAACTGACGAGCGTCAGCTGTGCGAGAGGAGGAAAGCTAACAGCGATTGGGACACGAATCCCTTACAGGGATTATAAAAAGGCCATTCTGGCGTGAAGGAGAGGAGGAACAGAACGGGAAGGATTAACGTGGGAAGGCACCCCTTTATGTTCGGCGTTTCGGGAGACAGGAAGAATGGATTCATAACGTAAGAGTGACAAGGATTAAAGAGTGGCTGAGCATCCACATCGTCCAAGCAGCATCGTAATCTTCACCGTGCCGTATATTAGATCCATCAATGGGAGAGGACGCCGGCCGGGACCGCGAGTGGGAGCCTTATTCACTGTGAGTTGATGTGTACTGCAGTGCTTAGTGTGAAGTGAACACGTGTGACTCTTTGAAGTGACTTATTGCATGCACAAGTGTGGGTGTATAATTCTGCTTTCACCCGTTAGCCCCAGTGGGCAGGTCTGCGAGGTTGTAGCTGGAGAACCCATCTAACCATTGTTGATTCAGCTTGTGTTGTGTAGGAACTACTGTAAGGATCTATTGCCATCGACTGTTGCTGTCTGTTCCGAAGAGAAGCTGCTGGATGAAGATTTGTTCACCATTATTTGTTTCTCTATCCTATCTGCTGTCTGCTCCATCGCCTGCTCTGAAGTTAAGCTGCTGTATGAAAGACCGAACTACAGTTTGTTGCTGTGTGTTCCGAAGAGAAGCTGCGGGGTGAAGGTTTGTTTACCATTATCTGATTCTCTATCTCATCTGCTGTCTGTTCCACTGCCTGCTCTGAAGTTAAGCTGCTGTATGAAAGACCCCATCCCAGTTGTTGCTTTTTGTTCCGAAGAGAAGCCGCTGGCGTCTGTTGTTGTCTGCTCCGAAGAGAAGCGGCTGGGTGAGGGTCCCCGACCAACGTCTGTTCCGTTATCTGCTGTCTGTTCCCCAGCCTGTTCTGACGTTAAACTGCTGTATGAAAGACCTCACCACAGTTTGTTGCTGTTGTTCCGAAGAGAAGCTGCTGGGTGAAGATTTGTTTACCAGTATCTGTTTCTCCATCCTGTCTGCTGTCTGTTCCCCAGCCTGTTCTGACGTTAAACTGCTGTATGAAAGACCTCACCACAGTTGTGGCTGTTCCAAAGAGAAGCTGCTGGGTGAAGATTTGTTTACCATTATCTGTTTCTCCTGCTGTCTGCTCCACTGCCTGCTCTGACGTTAAACTGCTGTATGAAAGACCTCACCACAGTTGTGGCTGTTCCGAAGAGAAGCTGCTGGGTGAAGATTTGTTTACCATTATCTGTTTCTCCATCCTGTCTGCTGTCTGCTCCACTGCCTGTTCTGAAGTCAAGCTGCTGTATGAAAGACCTCACCACAGTTGTGGCTGTTCCGAAGAGAAGCTGCTGGGTGAAGATTTGTTTACCATTATCTGTTTCTCCATCCTGTCTGCTGTCTGCTCCACTGCCTGTTCTGAAGTCAAGCTGCTGCATGAAAGTGTCTTACCACAGTCTGTTCCAGCGTCTGTCGCTGTCTGCTCCGAAGAAGCGGCTGGGTGAGGATCCCCGACCAACGTCTGTTCTGTTATCTGCTGTCTGTTCCCCAGCCTGCTCTGACGTTAAACTGCTGTAGGAAAGCCCTTACCACAGTGTGTTGCTGTTTGTCCCGAAGAGAAGTTTCTGGGTGAAGATCTTTTACCATTATCTGTTCCTCGATCGTATCTACTGTCCGTTCCATCGCCTGCTCCGAAGTTAAGCTGCTGTACAAAAGTGTCTTACCACAGTCTGTTCCATTATCTGCTGTCTGTTCCCCAGCCTGCTCTGACGTTAAACTGCTGTAGGAAAGCCCTTACCACAGTGTGTTGCTGTTTGTCCCGAAGAGAAGTTTCTGGGTGAAGATCTTTCACCATTATCTGTTCCTCGATCGTATCTACTGTCCGTTCCATCGCTTGCTCCGAAGTTAAGCTGCTGTACAAAAGTGTCTTACCACAGTCTGTTCCATTATCTGCTGTCTGTTCTCCAGCCTGCTCTGACGTTAAGCTGCTGTATGAAAGTCCTTACCACAGTCTGTCGCTGTCCGTTCTGAGGAGGAGCCGCTGGGTGAAGATCTTTTACTACTATCTGTTCCTCTATCGTACCTACTGTCCGCTCCATCGCCTGCTCTGAAGTTAAGCTGCTGTACGGAAGTGTCTTACCACAGTCTGTTCCATTGTCTGCTGTCTGTTCCCCAGCCTGCTCTGACGTTAAGCTGCTGTATGAAAGTCCTTACCACAGTCTGTCGCTGTCTGTTCTGAGGAGGAGCCGCTGTGAGAATCCCGTGCTGTCGTCGCTGCAGGTATTGACCACTGGCTGGTCGGCAGAGGAACCACCATACCCATCATCGACCGCCTCTAGGAAGGAATTGCGGAGACCTCGTAGCACTAACCGTCCCACTCCGTACCATCGCCTGCTCCGAGGAAGACCCATTGTGGGACACCTCTTCCCCTCCTTACCGTCGCCTAAAAGGCTACTTACCAGTCCTCACGGAAGACGAACGATTGCACCGACTTCCCTGCTTCGTTACCCGTTGGGTCGCGACTGTGGCATCAAGTCCTCCCCACCCTTGCTTCACAGAGGGGAATCTAGTTGGAATTCCTCCACTAAGTGTTTTAGTAAATAGGATTTTAATTCAATAAAATTGAACTTTTGTTACTTACCTTGTTGTCCGTCTGTGGTGTCCCTGGGTAAATTCCTTGAGGTGGTATATAAACAGGGGGGTCTGTACAAGTTCCCGTGACATATACGTCACCTCCACTGCGACCGAGCGCATATACGTCACCTCTACTGCGACCTTATACTGTCTATGACTGCGACCGAGCGCATATATATATTTATTTAACCGAGCGCATATATACGTGACCTCACCTAATCTTCACACACAATATCAAAGCAGTATACTAAACTTTTACGGTTTATGACTTTTAAATATAATATTATAGTAAAATTTATTTCAGAATTTTCTATTTAAAGCTAAATAACATGTACAAATCAACCAATGTAAAATAATGAAGAATAATTTCCACAATTTAGGTTAATTGTTTTTATGTAAAAAAAATAAAAATAAAAATAATCTTAAATTTTTACAACACAATAACTGCAAGGGACCATACTGTGAAAAAAAAAATACAAATATGAAAAAAATAATTATTTAGAATTTTGTATTTAAAGCAAAATAACGTGCAAATCAACCACAGTAAAATAATGAAGAATAATTTCCAGTTAATTGAATTGTTTAAAAAAAAATATATATATTGACAACACACTTGAATTACATAAAATTGTTACATCAAAGACACACTGCGCGCACACACACTTCACTGTTCAAGACCTCCATCATCCAAAAAGCAATCCCAGCTACAGTAGCCAGGGTTGTCATCTGAGGAGTAAAACCCCAAAAGCACTCCCCGTTGTCCATTTCCCTGGTAGCCAGCCCCACAGTCTTTGTAAAGCTGGCTGCATTGTAGGCCCCTGCACATAGAGATGGTGTACGGCTTTCTGTACATTTGACGGTGTCTCTCTGAAAGTCTTTTCCAATTCACTACACCTGTTCAATTTCAAAACACAATGAAAGTCACAATTCAGACAATAAATGAACAAATCTTTAACTGCCAAAAGTTTCATGTTAGGGAAATGGAAGAGGGTGATATTAATCTAGCCTAATTGTTAAACCCACAAAAAAAACACGATGGGGCAACCACACTTATTGAACTCACTATCAAGCCAGCTGAAGTGTGCCTCCTGCTGAAAATACTCCTGGCTGACAATGTTGTTTAATCTCTGGCATGTCAGAGCCAGCCTCGGGATTGCAGAGCAGCCGTCTTGTAGAACGACAAAGACAAGGATCCTCTGGAGAATGTCATCGGGCAACTGTAGATATGAAACAATATTTAATATAGAGTCATTGCAAGCCATTTCATCAACATTAAAGTGATTATGAACACATAACTGCAAAATGTCAGTGGACACAGCCCCATCCTGTGAAACCCTTAACATCTTTGCTGGGATCATAGGTACCTTTAAAAAAAAAAAAAAAGGAAAACAAAGAAAAACACAGTTTAAGAAAAAGCATGTATTATGCATATTACATAATACATGCTACTTTCAATACTTTTTACTGAAATATTACCAAAGTGCTGTATCTCCTTTTCCTAAGGACACGAAAAACAGGCGGCAGACTTCCATCCCCCATCTTCCTGCCTTCCTGTGTAAAATGCGCAAATCTTCGACCATGTCTGTAATTGACATTGACCAAATATGTTCATCATGCTTTCCCACTTTGACAGTACTATCTATTAATGTACTACTTTTCATTTCACAAACCATACCCCTCAATCTCAAGGTTCTCGAGCAAAACCTTGCACCACCAACTCCTCAGATATGGCATGTCAGACTGAAGATAAGAACAGTTGTAATGTGATTCACCACAATTAACATTAAACATCTTTGTCAACACCAAGACTGCACTTACGGTGGTGAAATCAAAGGCTGCCTCCACAGTTATGTAGCGATTATACGCACGTATAAATATAATTAATTATTATTCATAACGGATTATGATCAATAATTAATAATTGAATTATTTTCAGAATTTACTGTAGCAAAATCAATAGTATGACCAGTTTATCAGTTCATCCAATGAACGGAAAGCATAAACAATTATTAATTCTAGGAAATATAATATCTTCTTGGCCAAGAAAGACTAATTCCCAGCTTACAGCTAAATTAAGAAATAAATCAAGGGTCAAAGCATAGGTAACTTAGATCGAAGTTCAAGACAATAAATCTGTAAGCACATAACACAAGTAATGCTTCTCTTTTCAAATACAAATAATACTTTATTGATTATAAGCCTATGACTAACACACATAAAACTAATATAACACAAACACACGCACACGCATTCATACAAGTTGAAGAAAGACAGAGAGTGAGGAAGAATGAGTTTTAGGAGTTAGATGGTGAGATCCCAAGTTTCTATATGCACTTAAAAGACATGACCTGAACGAACCATCAATAATTAATTTCACCCTTGTATCGTTTCTTAGGCTGGTCATTCAATTTGATATTAAAATGCACCTGCAGTTTCAGCTAAAAGTCTGGAGGTACTTGCTTGTCCTTGCTTTGGGGTTCCCTTTTGTGGTGAAGGGGGTTCCCGGGTCCGTGGTTTGGCTGGCGGTCTCCTCGTGCTTGATAGATCTTGGGCAGCCAGTCACGTGGTGTGTTGGCGGATGGATGAAAGTCTTTGAAGATGGAAGCGTGTTGCAGTCGAAACGTTTTAAACGAAAGTTTGCAGCAAAACTTAACTTAGAACCGAGACTTTTAACGGAAAAGAAACAAACTAAGAAAAGAAAGAAAAGTGTGACGAGATGGCTTGAATTAAATCTGTTTTAACCCATATCTTGATTTGGGTCATTTGTCTCTGCGTCTACATGGTTACTATAACCATCGTCGGCTCCACCTGGCTTGTTCTGCCGAAAGAGAGCATCACAAGAGAGCAGAGGGCAAGAGCATCACAAGAGAGCGGATCACAAGAGCAGGATTCTGTGTTCGAGTCTAAGATTTTAAACTCAAAATGTTTGTCCCGCCTCCTGGAGGAATTTGGAATTCGGACAATAAGATACTATATGGTTATTTGAGAAGGGGGTCTTTTCTATCCCCATTCTATCCCCGAAAGAACACCCATTATGAAGAATTTACAATGACTATCAACCTTATACAATGTTCTTGTGCATTTTCATTGCAAATGATTATTACCTCAACATCCAGGCCTGACTGTTCTTCCCATGGCCCAGGCTTGAGCTTTTGTGCAACAGCCCTGATAAAAATCAAGACAGTGTTACGAAGGATACTTACAATTCAGCTGGGGAACACAAACCGTTTCAAAAATGCAGAATACAATTCAGAAATTGGTTGAACATGAAATGCCAACAATGCTTACATCCTCTGAACGTGAGGTACTTTAACTATGAAGTTTATCCAAGCAGCCTTGACAAGTCAAAGGAACGCGACTGCCGAGAGTAGATGTATATAAACGTGGGCAAGTCAGAAGAACACGACTGCCAAAAGTAATTGCAATAACACTAGAAGTGCCATGACAGTCATTTTGACCGTTTTGAATTTTATATCTGCAATAATTTTGATCTTCAAAGATCTAAGATCTAACTTTGAAAGTCAACTATCTGCTGACTTTTTAAATGAATATACAGACACTTTTAGGAAATGTTTTTCATATAAATTACACATAAGGCAAAAAAAAAGAAAGAACATATACCTATTTCGGCCATAGACGGTCATATTGACCACACTGAATTTCGCGGTATTCATTTGTTACATTTCCCGCAAATTATTTTCTATTAGCCTATTTTCTTTATTATATTAAAATAAAATGTTTTATAATTAAGATACTTTTAGTTATTAAATGTACAGTTTGGTGTTGTTTTTAAAAGATATACTAATACAAGAAATGGTAAAAATGACCGCTTGTGGCAGGTTTAGTAGTTATGGAATTCTGTCACTTCTAGTGTTAATGTGGGCAAGTCAGGGGAACGTGACTGCCGAAATATATTATTGTGTAACCTCAATATATCTCTGTAGGCCTTGTTTCCAAAGCCTTGTTCCCACTGTGCAAACAGCGAATCAAGGAACAGTATTCCTCTTTTGCCTGGCATCATCACCTGAGAATAGTCTTGGCAATTAATTAACCTTTCATGTGTAATATTCCAATAAGCTTTGTAAAAATGAATCTTCAGATGCTTCTTTTCCACATCAACAGTATAGCTTGAGAAACTTATTTTGAAAGCATGCATTACTTACACATAGCAAAAAATGGCCTTGTGTCCACAGCGGGAATATAAGTGCATCTTTCTCGGCGGAGTCGACCTTAAAAGAAAGCATGATATGCTGTTAATTCAAATCAGTTTAATTATTGCTGTCAACCCTCTACAATGCGAGCAAATCACTCGCATATGCAAGTAAATATCACTCTGGGCGACTATTCAAAAATGAAAAATACTAGCCAATGGCGATTCTATTGCCAAGGTGTGCGTAGAGAGTTGGCTGTACAAATGGGTAGGTACTTACATGAAGACTGCCTAGAGGGTCACAACTCAAGGGTGGGAGCCATGTTGGGGGGATGTGGAGGTCCATAATAAAGACCTTTTTCCCCTAAAGAAAGACAGCTGACTTTGTTGTACTGCACAGAGCTCACATAGGTCCCTCTAAAATATACGTTAATACATGTGTATACATACCTGTAACTCAACCATCTCCTTAACAAGCCTCAGACAAGTATTTCCCACCTGTTCACATGATTTAATGTTTTTTTTTTTAACTGTATTTACAATTAAAAAATAGAGTACTTTAACATTCCAACAAAGTCTTTCACCCACCATTGAGTCCATTTCCCTGTTTAGACCTAAAGATAACAGGTTCTCTCTGGTCAAACATGTAGGGCCATCCTTAATCATAATCTCATTGGCAGGCCTACCCTCATCCAGAACATAGCTGACCTACAAGAAAGACAAATTAAAAGTAGCATTAAATAATAATAATAATAATAATAATATCAACAAAATCCTTTAATTACTTCAATGAAAGAAGAAGAAATTAAATTCTGTCAAATAAGCTAGGCATTTATGTACCAGCTGTTCCTGGAGGGGATGATCTCCTCCAGCTGACCACATTGTTCTACAGGGCCTGAGGTTACTGATGGCAGTAAGTTTTGCACAATGCTGCCCACAATGGTGCGAAGGGCCAACATCTACAAGAAAAATGAAACAGTTACTCTAATGCCCCACAGTACGGCATGGTAATCTGCATCTATTTAAAATTTGCCCTGACGCCGCCTTCACACTGGCAGTTGAAATCATCTCCGATACGGCTCCGAAACGACCGGAAGTCATTCATTTCCTATGGAGATTCGCAGACCGCATGCGAATGGGTCCGAAACGGGTCCGACCGAGTGCGGTGCGAAGAAAATCGTGTCCGTTGGTCATCCGGATGCGTTACAAAAATTGAACTCTTGCGAAAAGTGTTGTGGCAAATTCTCGATCTTTGGTTCAATTCTTCAAAGTCTGGTTCAGGTCTCAGAAGAAATCTTTCAGAGTCGAAGTTTCAGGTCTCAGAAGAATAACTTTATTGAGCAGTTCAACAAAGTGAGAAGCCAGCTGGACATCTGACTCCACAAGGGCCAGCGCTCAGGTCTTATACCCTTTTCTTATCAGGTGTCCGAATAGCGCTCATACAGTTATCTTATTCTACTTACTCCTCCTTGGTCTGTCGCCAAACTAACTAAAAACGATCAAACTAACTGTCATACTCCCCTTTGTCTTGATCAAATTAATTTCAAACGATTGAACTAACTGTAAAACTCCCCTTTGTCTTATCAAACTAACTTCACACTCCCCTTTTTCTTGATCAAAACCCAACTTCAAACGATTAAACTAACCGTCACCATCATTTTGACAGAAAGTTTAACCGCAAGGGGCGGAACAGATCAAAGGTCATCATCCATCATTTTGACAGAAAGTTTAACCGCATCAATGCCTTTTTCTTATTGGTGGCACATTGTTACATTGTATACAATATCTTTCTCTTCCAGTGCTTCCCAACACCTGCATCTGTGCTACAAGTCTTTTGGGTATTTTTCCACTCTCTTGTCCATGTCCTCATGTGCCCTAGGACCTAGTTTTTCTGCTTGGCATTACAGCATTCAGACCTGGTTTTCTCTAGCATTACAGCATTTTATATTCAGACCCATGTATGAGACATGTATGAGACAAATGAAATTCCCCAACAAAAGCTACGGACGGTTCCTATCCGACAATTCCAGCGGAAGTTAGCGTTGCTATGATACTGATAAACAAACCTGAATTCTTATCATTATAAAATCATTATTTATTTTATTAAAAGTTAAGTTGTCATGTAATTTTTTATTTTCATGATTTGCTAACGTTATTGCAGTTAATACAATTAAATTGTAGGCAGACATCGAACTAAATATGACATAGTGGTATAAATTATACCACTATATCACATTTTTTAGCCGACCTGACATGTCAACGTCCTGAGCAACTTTCCTCACGCAGCAGCCTTCCTATTAATATCTATATAACCCTCATCAGAGAGATCATGCAGAACTGACAGAATCAAACTTTCTAATCTCTCCGCCATTTTTGTTCTACCCGCTTCCGACGCTTTTCACTGTGTAGTACGACGTCCGTTGGGGGCGTATTGCGTATTACGGAGCTGATTTCAACTGCCAGTGTGAAGGCGGCGTGAAACAAAAAGGTAAAACAACAAAATAATGAAAAAAAAAAAAAAATAGGACAAATAGAAACGTGTAAAAAGCCTTCGACTTTTAGGGTGGCAACATACCTTCAAAATGTAAAGGTTGCTGCATCCTTCAAGCTAATGAAAGTCGCCTAGCTCTGAAAGTGAGTGAGAAAACGAGAATGAAAACAGTTGGGGAAGTACCTGTGGGAGAAAAAAAAACGTTTTAACTGAAAATGCATAACGTTAAATTCTCTTCACATTTAAACTTCTCAATACAATCAAACAATTACCAATAAACAGAATTAAACAATAAATACAAACACACACCAACACTAAAATGTTATCTATGTGGTCTCGGGCCATTAAATAATGCTCAAAATGGAGATTTGCGTTCGTGCATCTCTTAACTAAAAAAATGTCAAACATTTAAATTAACAAGCAATCAATATAATACTCACATCTGCACACTCTACAAACATTATATTTAAAAACAATCATTAGAATTAATACCTGAATAGAAGGGGAGAAAATCGCTGATGTTTCCCCAATCCCCACAGCGAAGTATGGAATGTAAAAACCCCGCGAATTTACTCCGCCCCGCCCCGCCCCCGCGAAGTGACGTATTTCCTGTTTGAGAGTGGAGCTCCAATCGCTAGGGGTTTTCTGTTAAAGGGGTCATATAATGCCATTTTTGTACAAGCTAATATGATTCTTTAGGGTCTAAATTAAAAGTTTGTAATATACTTTAATTAAAAATTCTCATTAGTATTGTAAGAAAACACTTATTTTACCTGGTCAAAAACAGCTCTGTTTTCAGCACGCCGTTTCAGTGCATATGCCTTTAAATGATCATGAGCTGCGCTCACTCCGCCCCTCTGTTCTGTGCATACACCGTTTGTAACACAATAACACAATAACCATAACGCGTTGTTCAGTATAAACGTGGAATTATGAATTATATTGAGAACGTCATACATAGAAAACATGCCGTAATGTACCCTGACTGAGTGTAAACCTTAGACGCATTCATTGTGAAGCGTGCAGCTAGCGATTTGCAAAGATTAATATATTAATATAAAGTTTAATAAAACGTTTCACTCACTTCCGTTCTTCTGGAGGTTCAGCAGGAACACGAATATCTGGTACCGATCCTTTTTAGCAAAGCTTCTTAGCAAATCCAGCTTTATACTGACCCTCGTTTATAAAGCAGTCTGGTGTGTGAAATGATTCGCGCAAACATGAAAGCAGTGACGTTGCTCGTGTGGAATATTCCCTTCGAAAACAAACACAGCCACTGCGTCTTCAGCGGTTCGGATTCAGGAACCTTAAAATGACTGTGTTCGTTATTACACCCAAGAACAGAACACCACAATCGCTTAGACGCCATTCTGCTCATAGACAGTGCTCCGGCACATCAACAATGACCGCGCCGGTCCGGTCCGTGCCGCGCAGACTATGATTGACAGCTACCTCATGTGCGAGGGCGGGTCTGTGTTGAAACGCTCCCGTCAATCAACAATCGTGGGAGGGGCGTCCGTTTTATTGACGTCACAAAAACGAACGGCTCGATTTGAGGCAGGGGAAAACATATAAGGAGATTAAAACAAAACCACTGGATGGATTTTTATCATTATATGATGTTTGTGTACAGGCACTGCCAACACACATTTCAGTACAATCAACTTGAAAAAGTGCATGTACCATTATATGACCCCTTTAAGGTCATCAACTAACTTAGAGAACTTAATAGCATTCTTCTTCTTAATATGTCTAAGAGAAGAGAAGTAAAGACACAGCTCCTTATGAAAAATGTAGAAATTTGGCCTGGATTTCAAGAATTTGTTTTTATGTATAAAAAACTTCCCAAGAATAATAATTGAATTTATAACCAGGTCATGTAGGGGGTCTTTCAAAATTGTACCAAACATAACACTTTCCTTTGTTAGACTAGAGAAATTTAAAACTTTAGGGAACAACCAATAATGCATATCTTCCCAGAAAGCATTAACAAAAATACAATCATAAAATAAATGCTCAGTGGTTTCAATATGATCATCACAGAATGTGCAATTATTGTGATCCAAACCAAAGCGACGTCTCAAAAATTCCGCTGATGGGTATATACCATTTAGAACCTTAAAATGAACCTCCTTCGCTTTTGGTGCAATGGGAAATTTAATAAATTTAGAACAGAGAGTCTCAGCCTCTTTTTTAGAGAAGATTAAAAAAAAGGAATTTCTGTGGAAAGAAGGCGGATATAATTCTTTAATGAAAGTTTGCCTTTTAATGAGGTTTGGTAATTTTATGTTTGTGAAATTGTGATCATTCACCAAAAGCAAAGGGAGATTAGGTTTCATGGTATTTTGACATAAATTATATACAGATGCAATTAAAGTTTGAGGAATCGCCTTGACAACCTTGGCATACTGGTCTCTGTCGAAGAGATTAAATTTGGAAGCAAAGTCCTCAAAAGAGAGAATGTTGCCTGTACTGTCCAAAAAGTCCATCACAGACCATATTCCTTTTTCTAGCCAAAGAGGGAAGAATATGGATTTATTTTTAAGCAACACCTATCTGCAATTCCATATAGGGGTGTTGTGAGGAGTAAAGTTGTGTTTGTATATCATTCTCCAGTACAGTAAAACTTGTTGATGAAACGAGGATAACTTGATAGGGAGCTTTTTTAGATCAAAGTCACATCGAAGAAGGAAATCAATTCCTCCTACCTTCATAAAAATTTTACTGGGAATATGAAACCAAAATTGTTTTCCGTGAAATAAAAAAGACCTTAACCAGTTTATTTTAATAGTACCGTTAATGCACTCAATGTCAAAAGTCTTAAGTCCACCTTCTTCATATTCTTTATAAAGTACCTTTCTTAATATAGTGGGTTTTCTTATTCCAGATATAATTGAATATAGCTTGGTCTATGGCTTTTATTGCATTTTTAGGAAGCGATAAGGAGTAGGCTGGGTAGATGAATCGGGAAATGCATTCCATTTTTGTGAGAAAAATTCTGCCTATAGAGATATCTCTTTGAGACCAGGAATTTAAGTATGATTTGCATTTATCCAGATTATTCCAAATATTAAGATTATCAAGCGAGTTCTTCTCCTTAGTAATGTGTATCCCTAGGTATTTAACAGCTGATTTAACCGGGATATTATGAACTGATGTAAGGGTGGAATCGTGAATCGGCAAAACCTCACATTTATTAAGGTTTAATTTTAAGCCAGATGCTTTTGAGAAGAAATCAACTATGTGAAGAACCTTAGGAATTTGATTACTGTCTTTCATAAATATAGTCGTGTCATCAGCCAGTTGGCTGATGGTTAGTTGATTAATTTTTCGAAATCTGAGTGCTTAATCAGAATGGAGAGCATTTCTGCTGCAGCGATGAAGAGCAAAGGGGAGATGGGGCAGCCTTGTTTAATGCCTTTGTCAATAGAAAACCTTGGAGATACACCTTGTGGT